CTCTCTCTCTCTCTCTCTCTCTCTCTCTCTCTCTCTCTCTCTCTCTTTTCTTAATGGGGGGAGGATTCAAGATGAGGTTTTTCTGTATAGCTTTGGCTGTCCTGGGACTCACTCTGTAGACCAGGCTTGCTTCAAACGCAGAAATTCACCTGCCTCTGCTTTCCAAGTCCTGGGATTAAAGGCAGGACAGATAATGGCTGGGTGGACCACCACATTAGGCTTTATTATGTTTTTAAACATAAATTTAAATAATGTGTTTGGTTTTATTTTATTTTGTTTGAGACAGGGTTTCTCCAAGTAACCCTGGTTGTCATGGAACTCTCTCTGTAGACCAGGCTAGCATTGAACTCACAGAGATCCACTTGCCTCTACCTCCTGAGTGGTGGGATTAAAGGTGTGCACCACCACCACCTGGTTTGGGAATCTGGGGATTCTTGAAGGGGTGCCATGTAGAAAGAGTAGGAGCTGGATAGTGGTCCATGATTTAAGTCCCAGTCAAAGGGAGAGAGAGCTAAGAGTTAGAAGCCAGCTGGCTATAGTAAGATCTTGCGCCACACCAAAACAAACAAACAACAACAAAATGGGTAGGAAGACTGTTACGTTTGTTAAGATAATTTGTTCTTGTATAGTGAAAGGATTTTTCTTGGATTTAACTGCTATAAAATAAATGGCTTTGTGGCTTGTAGATTAATACTAAGAAATGAAGAATCTGAGATGTTTACTCTTTCCCAAACTGATGGGGAAGCCTGTCATTTTATTTGGATGCTCATCACACATGAGACCTCAGACAAACACAGATTCCCATGGTACAGCAGTGCATTTGCTCAATCACCTTTGAGCCCAAGTTCCCTAGAATACACAAACATGGATGCTTGCAAGTATTGCAGGTCACGTTAAAGGAGAAGGACATTGAGACTGCTTTTTAATTATGAAAGCTTGGCCTATAGCTTAGACTAGTTCTTTTTTTTTTTCAGAGTGAGGTTGGATATTTATTTAGTGGTTGTGGAAGGGAAGGGAGAAGGGGAGAAGAACAGAGGCAGAGAGGAGAGACTGAAGCTGCCTCTCTGAGAGGGAGCAGGAAAGGAGAGAGAACTCAGACTGGAAGCTGAAGATCAACTTGCCTCAGCGCATGGGGGAGGGAGTGACCATGGCTTGTCTCTTAAAGAGACAGAACAGATCATTACATTCCCATCTCTTTTTTATAATAAAAAGGCTGGAGGTTAGGCACCACAAGTTAAAGGAATTGGGGTGGCAGTATGGAAGGGAGGGGAGAAGAACAGAGAGGAGTGAGACCGAATTTGCCTCTCTGAGAGGGAGCTAGAAAAGCTTAGGCTAGTGCTTAAGTAGTTCTTTTTTTTTTTGTTTTTTTGTTTTTTTTTGTTTTTTGTTTTTGGTTTTTTTAAGACAGGGTTTCTCTGTGGCTTTGGAGCCTGTCCTGGAACTAGCTCTGTAGACCAAGCTGGTCTCGAACTCACAGAGATCCGCCTGCTTCTGCCTGCTGGGATTAAAGGTGTGCGCCACCATCGCCCGGCTTAAGTAGTTCTTTTTTTTTTTTTTTAAGATTTATTTATTTATTATGTATACAACATTCCTTCCATGTATGCTTGCTTGCCAGAAGAGGGCACCAGATCTCATTACAGATGGCTGTGAGCCACCATGTGGTTGCTGGGAATTGAACTCAGGACCTCTGGAATAGCAGCCAGTGCTCTTAACCTCTGAGCCATCTCTCCAGCCCTTAAGTAGTTCTTATAACTTAAATTAACCCATTTCTAGTAATCTGATGTCTGTGAGCTTCTTCCTTCCTGGTGCTGGGATTATGGATGCGTACCACCACTGCTGGCCCATGTAGGATCTTATAACCTACTACTACACACAAAATAGATGGTGTATTTATTGGCAATTCTGAGGGAAGATTAAGAGTTTCTTTGTAAGATGGGCTGTGATAGCGCACACGCCTTTAATTCCAGTACTCAGGCTAGCTTGTTCTACAGAGTGAGTTCCGGGACAGGCTCCAGAGCTCCAAAGTTGGGATGACCAATTCTGAATTGAATGACACCGTCATGAACCGTATGGGGTGAAAGGAGAAAGCTGAGCGCCAGCATTCTCTCCATACCTGTTTCCTGACTGCTGTAATGTGAATTGTCCTGCCATTTCTGTCCTGTTAGGGTAGACTGGTCTCCCTGATGCTGAGCCAAAACAGATCCTCTCTCAAGTTGTGTCTCACTTTGTTGCAGGGATGAGAATTGTAATTATCCCTGCAACTTTACCCAGAAGACCAACACTTTGAATTTTATGCACTTTCACCAAAAATAACTTGGTGAAGCTGGATGTAGTGGCAACTCCCGTGATCTCAGTAGTAGACCAGTGTGGGCTGCCAGTCTGTGATTTGTACACACCAGAGCCAATGCTTTGCCGACACAAGTGTCTTTGGGTCTATTGTTGTGAAGAGACACCATGACTATAGCAATTAATAAAGGAAAATATTTAGTTGGGGTGATTTACAGTTCAGAGGTTTAGTTCATTATTGCCATGGCAGGAAGTTTGGCATTACATGGCAGAAATGGTGCTGGAGAAGTAGCTGGGTTGGTAGGCAGCCTGAAGAAAGAGAGAGACACTGGGCCTAGCTTGAGCATTTGTAACCCCAAGCCCACCTCCAGTGACACACTTCCTTTTGCAAGGCCACACCTCCTAATAGTGCCACTCCCTCATGACTTAGCATTCAAATCTATGAGTTTATGGGGCCCATCTCTATTCAAACCACCACAACAAGGAAAGAGCCTTATAGTAGTTAGGTG